ACCCTGACCCACGACATTCAAGCCTTCTGGAGTTCACGCCTTGCGTAAGGTTCGATGTGACATCAACTGAAAAAAAGTTGTGGAAAGTATGGAGTGAGTTGAGCGCCGGCAACTTCCTCGACACGACCAGCACGATTCTCAACGTCTTCGTGTCCGTGCTCAAAGTATGTGAAGGTTGCGCCGAAGGAAAACCAGTGTTTCATGTCTATTTTCTCTCTATAAAATAAATAAACAGTAATTGTATCTCTGTTATATTTGTTCGAGCTCACTCAGGTTTTGCTCGACATTTATTTGGGTTGCGTATTGTCCATCTGTTACATCCACAACCCATCAGTAAATACGCTGTGTTCCTGGCTGAAATGCTACACTGCAACCTTTGTTGTTTAGGATATTGCTATATTATTATGCGTTGTTGCTACAAGTCGACCCCACGGCTTCACGAGAAATCTATTTACCATCATTCTATTGACCAGCATTCCCATCAGTTTGAAAAATCTAAGTAGTAAGTTCATGTTCACCTGCTGGGTGCAATGGAAAAGTTGGTGAAGGTGCCTCATGCTAATGATTTTGTTGGAACCATTTTTCGTCAATATGTACACAGATGGTCTGAGCGAACCCAAAAATTTCGCCCCGCCTTCGGCTGGCTAAGGCTATAAATTTGGGCTGGATGCGCCGACAATAACTTATACAACTCCCCTGCGCTCTTCCGCTTTGGCAACGAGATTTCGTCAAGCTCTGTGGAGATAAAAGCATTGAAAAGCAAAGAGATCCCTCGCTGAAAATTAAGATACCCCCAGGATCTGTGAATTTCAATACCTACAAATCAGATTCGTGGCTTTCTCAAGGGAAAGCAAAAAAAGGTAGCTGCAAAGCGCCATTTTCGAGGCCCTACAATAACCATTTATTCGAAACGGCGAACACAAAGAGCTCATCACGATAAGCTGGTAATTTACTCTGAATAATAATATGTGCCGACTCTAATAAGCTCCATCAGTGCTCCATTCTAGGCGATTTCCGGAGTTCAGTCCATCGGTAGATTCCAAATGGTCAGTCCTCATTCAAGCAAGCGTGAGAAACTTCACTTGAGCACTATCAGGAGCTCAAAAGCTGCGTTCTCTGTATGTCGCATGCCCATAGATATGTTGTAATGTATAAATCATCTTGATAATTCAGTATTGCATATCCCGAACTTGTTTATAGGCAGAATTGCCCAATTAACATGCATTTTGCTCGCTCATGGAAACGCATGAGATCCCCAGGGTCTGATTTCTATAGAAGTCGTTATCAAATTCCTTTAAACATCATGCTGCCCCTTGGAGCACTGACTGCTGGAAATGGTTTTGTAGTCATTTAGGTGGCCCTGAAAGTCTCTCACGAGGTCGGCTTAAAATAAAAAATTATTGTCAGTGAAGTTGAAAAATGTAAAATCGACTATGCTTTCAAAGTGCTTGTGATTGGTCCGTCAGCCATTCGTTATTCTAGGTCCGGTTTTCCCGCATCAGTTGGCAGAAACTAAGCGACCAAAACCAACTGAGGGTCAAGCCTTCTTGTAAGATAGAGGCTGAAAAGAAGTTGCAGGGTTACTGCGCTCTGGCACGTCAGATGACGACATGTTCCTTTCTTCGTAATATTGCATGATCTGGCTCAACAAAATCTAAGCCGCTGATGGAAACGGCCAAGCGGAGCACTCGCTTACCCAGGCGGTAGCCACTTGGGGCATGTTACGCGCCGGCTGGGCGCCCTATAATGACTGACCACCTGATGTCCGCCACGGCCTCAACATTCGACGCTCTCTGGATTGAGTTTTCAAAGAATTTGTTTAAAATTCGGAAATCAAACATCCTTGAAGTGACATTTATGCGAAATCCCAATTGTGTTCCAGTGTTGCCCTTGTGTTAGTTCCACGCGTGTTGGTATGACTCCCCGGTAAGGTGTCGCAGCCGGCCTTTGCGCGGTTTTCTCGACTCAGAATTTGTGGATGAGGTACCTCAGACCAAAGGTGAATCGCATTCAAAGGCATTCAATTACGCATAAATGAGACAATTGGCCGTGCCCAATATCCACGACGAATGCTGACGTCAAAACTAAATGATGGAAAGATGGAGGCGAAGACTTGGCCCATGTTGCCTTTCCCGACCACGACTCGAATTCCGAAGGAAAGTGGTTTGCGACGAGAATATTCATGGCGACTCGACACTCATCAGCGTATGCAGCGTGCGAACTACTGGGCTTCGGGTAGCCACCAGTCGGAGATCATTTCCCAATCCTCAATGACTGATGGCTTTATGGCCGAATAACCCTGAAGACATCAAAATGCTTTATTAAGCAGTTCACTCTGAATTTACTGCTGCTCATTAGAGAGTGAAATCCTATTTGACTTATTCGTTGGCTTCGGGGCCCAGAAAACATACGATTAAAGTGGGCAAACGTTTTTTATAATTACTATTACTGAAGTGCCCCTCAAGTGATGCTCTACTGAGAAGCCGTCGCCAAGCCTATGCTACTGGTTCGAAACTAGACATGTGCATCGAAGTATCTGAAGAAATTTTTTGTTACTCCTGTAGTTAAGCATTTCTGGGGACACAGAGGGCATGGCGTGAAGCGTGGCAATGAATGCACCTCTGCTCAGGAACAAAATATATTAGGTCGTCCCTTGTTGCTTCGCTAGCGCCTGACTTCGTCGACCACCACACGAAGAAGCATCGATAAGCGTGATCCACAAGGAGACCCGTGCTGATGAGAAAACTGGACCAGATCATCTCCAAAATTTCTCCTAGGGTCATCGTTTCTTGGCACATACACATTACTGAAAAGGAATGCCTCCAGATCTTCATCACTGCACGTCGTTCATCTGCTCGAGCCACTGGAGTTACGATCTTCCGCTCATTCACCTTCCCTCCCCTCTCGTCATTAGACCATAGATTCTTTTCTCGCTTTTCTCAGGAGAGGATGCCTGAGCTCTAGCTGCAATCTGCCACCCGGGATAACATACGTTCGCTCCTGCTCACTGAGCCATAAGAGACCACCAAAGTAAAATCTGAACCATTACTGAGGCCATCCAAAAGTTCAACGCATAGCAAAAGTGCGATCGTCTCTTCCAGCGGGTCCAAGTGATTCCCCGAAGTGCACGGAGATATTCAGTTTCACGCTCAGTAACAGATCGAGTTCCTGTCCCACACCTCATGATTCAAAGGATTTCGAGAGTTTTCGAAGTAAGGAGCTGCCCCTCTCGCGAAGAGTCAACAGATGTTCTCCATGCAATCCCCCTCATTTCCCCCGCATCCGTCCGTCCGTAGAGCCCAACGGATTCACAAAAAGATCATCTGTTTATGCTTCGCCGCCAAGTGGAACGGCAAATATCGGAGATTCGATTGCACGTCCTATATCTTCTAAAGCACACACATTGTCTCACTGAAGTTTTCCGCTATTTCTGGGAAACCTTCCAGCGCAATTGAAGAAGGAAGAAGACGAGAAGTCAAGCTTGAAGGCAAGCCTTCCTCTGGTTGGAAGGTATTGAAGCTCTGCTGCTCATCTCTTTATCTGGAAAATCAGTCCTCTTCAAAGATTACATTACAGGCGGCTTGTTGTACGCAAATGTGCCGCAGAAAAGCGACAACAAAATCAGACTTGTTTTCAGGTGTTGACGAAGCAGTTCATATTACTAAAAACGTCAGAGTAGACGCGCTTAGTTAATGAAACGCAGGCCAATGGGGGCATTCAGCAGTGGTTTCGGCTAAGGAGTCATTACTTCACACACAAGAGCTTGCGTAGTATCCCCTATGACCAGGAAAGAACTCGCGTCGGCCTTCCGTCAGGAAGGTATCCGGTTGCACATCATCACGAGACATGACATTCAAAGGTCACGAACTATGTGGTGTATGAGGTGCTCCAAATAGGAAGAGGGGGGGGGGGCGTTTTCATGACAGAGTGGCGTTTGATCGAAAAATTAGTAGTAATTCTTGATACCTAAATTACTGGTAAATGCTACTTCGATGTAAGTACTCACCCAAACCTTTCTACAAAGTCCGTGAGGGCATACTAAGCCGAACTGGATGCAACTATCGGAAACCGGAAATTGATTGTGGAATGTTCTTTCGTATTTAGATTGTTTAGTGCCCCTGAGCGTCTGCTATCATACCTCCGCAAATCGACTGACTCGAAATCGATTGCACTTTTTTTCGGTATTGGCTAAAATCCCATTTCCGTCTCAAGATTCCACCTTCCGATGACTGCGGTTCTACCTCACATCTTCCAGCAATGCCGGCCTAGGTTAGAAAGTAAACACGAGCTTTTCCGTTAGTTGTACTACTTGGTACTGTTGGTTTATTGTCGAAGGAGTCGTATCCAAGAAGTTGTAGGCTCATTCGGGGCACAACTCAGGAAAGGAGGTAGGTTCGATGAAGAAAGCCATCACGATAAGGATCAGGTGTTCGATTAGTCGAGCAACAAACTGCTCGAACTGGTTTGAGAGCGCCTGAGAATCGCGGCCATAGCGCGTGGAACAGATGGGAAGATTCTTAAAAAATGAATTGTGTCTGCTTTATTTAAATCAAAAACAGTAATTCAAGAAGTTGACTGTAACATGTCTACGAAATATTTGAGAATTTTTAGCATAGGGCAGACCGATTTTCAAGAAAAGAAAAGTCATCTGTAATGGAGCCCAAAAAGTCCTATTGTAAGTGAAAGCATCGTTCAGTACTCGATAAATGTCAAGGTAGACTTTACTATTGCTTTAATGAAATTTCGCGTGATGTCGGACATCTGATATAAGCAATGGCGGGGCGGAGCATAAAGGGGTTGAGGAGGCGGAGCCGGGTGCAGTGCGCGAACAGACGCAACGACCGACGGCCCCGAGCTGCTGCTGCTGCTACTGCATCTGTTGGTGGTGGTGGCAAGGCGATTTCCGCTTTCTCTGCAAGAAGGACTGTTTGATTCCGATTTCTGGGTATCTGTCCTTCGTGCCCACCGTACCGACCTCCTCGACCCGATGACATAATCTCATGTCGCAATGGACTTTCTCCGCTGTTCGAGTACATTTGACCGCTGGCGGCCGTGGCGGTACCGGTGTTCATACACCGAATGTGCTCGCTTTATTGCTACTGCCAGTACTTTGTCTTGTTGGACTCATCGGGAACGCTATGGTTTGCATTGCTATTGCGACCGATCGACGGCTTCATAATGTCACCAACTATTTTCTGTTCTCATTAGCCCTCGCCGATCTACTTGTTTGTTTACTGGTTATGCCCTTGAGTATCATCGTCGAGGTTAAGCATGGTAATTAAATAGTTTTCTTTAAAATGCTTTATACTTCTCTCCTGCCGCATTGGCGTCGGGAGTGTTCGCTTGAGCGCCGTCTTTGTCACCCCATGTCACTTTTTCCACTGAAACGGTGGCAATTTCGAACACGAGCGAAAGCGAATGTGTATTTTATGAGATGGCTGAGGTGAATTTGGTCAGAGCCACAAATCGAGCCCTGTTTTCAGGTGTATGGACATGGAACGTGTCATTGTGCCTGCTTTATGTATATGCGGACGTATTCCTCTGTAGTGCCAGTATTGTTCATATGTCCGTTATCTCGCTGGATCGCTACTTGGGAATATCGCAACCGCTTCGAACTCGGAATAAATCGAAGACGATGATTATTGTGAAAATTTGCCTCGTGTGGATTATCACGTTGATTGTCTCATGTCCCATCGCGATACTGGCCTCATACGACCACACTTACATCCTGCAGAATAACTCTTGTACGATATTCAGTCGTCATTATATCATCTACGGTTCTACGCTGACTTTTCTAATACCATTCTGTGTGATGTTCGTCACCTATCTGCGTACTACTACGCTACTTAATAAGCAGGCATCAATCCTTAGTCAGAAGGCCAATGATAAGCTGAACGGAAATGGGCTGCGTCGCACAATGCCACATAGGAAGCTCGGACACGTTCGGAGAACGTCGACATCCACCGCAGCCACATTTACCAGTAGCACGTGTAAATCGAGTTTCTATGGTCCAAAAACGAGTACGACCTATTCGAACGGCTATCATAACTCAGTGGTCGAGTTGGATGCACCGCCACCGTCTCAACCGCAACCAACATCAGGCATGGAGAACCAGAACCTGCTGCTGCATAAACCACTTACAAAACGGTCGACTATTTATCGCTGGAAATCAAAAACTTCTAGCTACTTAACAAATATCGCGCAACGAGTCAGTCGGCGTAATTCACTTCAGGTCGGTGCCCTTGATACACATCGGTTTTTTGTGCTTACACATCTGTATATTCCAATGAATTCGGGCTTGCTCTTTGGGCACTTTCTGAGTGCTCTCCCCTCTATCGTGTTTATAAGTTTGCCTTTCCCTGCAATTACACACCTGGGCACCTCGCAACGGTCAAAAAAACGGGCAAATTCAATTTTTGATGAGGGAGCGAAACTGGAGCAATTTGAACATACCTGGTCTCTATACTTCCGCCTCTATAATTCCGCAGTTTCGCTACTCTTGAATGCCTAACTCAAAATTTCCTTACTCTGAATGCTTTTGTATGAATTTTTATTCATTGATTTTCTTATGCGTGACTTATGCACCTGGTCATCTCGCCTGTCAGAAACCGTGCATCAACATTTGACGCCGAAGCGAAATTTGAAGGATTTTGAGAAAACTTTTTCTGAATCTCGGTTTTCAAAACTCTGAGATGGCTCAGTCAAAATTTTCTAACGTTTTCGAGCCCTTGAATATCTATTTCGTTTATTTCCTCTGCGTATGCTACCTCACATTCTGATAGCCTACCGTATGCATGTTAGGATTTTTTCGGGCAGTAATGTTTCCATTGTTTGGTGTGTTGCGCATTAGTGTTAATCAATTCCATGTACTAAATTGACATGGTATCGAATGTTGGGAAAACGAAAGTTATTAATTTTCAATGCAGAGCGCCTACTTTTTGCAAGGTGCTTTTCCTACAGATCTATGAGCAAGTCGCACTGGCTGCACATTGTAATGAATAACAACCATTAAAATCGAAGCAAAAGTGAAGGTATATGTGGCGAAGCGGAACTAAACACCTGCAAAGAATGCGGTTTGACTCGTGCACGATTTTGAAATGATTGCTGTAAAGTAGTTTTCTCGGCAATAACGAAACGGCTCGGAGGTGTCTGCTCATGGGAAAAGGAGAAGCTCTGGCCAATTCCCAAACTCCCTCACCAACTTTTGAATTCGAACGGATACTCATATGCCCTTATCCTCATGGTTCAAAGGAGCACTGAGTATGGTTTAGTCCACTCTTTCATGTCTTAATCAATAGTCAATTTTTTGAGTTGCGATAATTTTGGGCCCAGCCTTCATGATCTCGCTTTTGAATGATGGCTGGTGGGCATCCGCTTATGAAACTTCTTCTACATAGGCAGAACGATAGTGCTCCTTGTGAGAGAATACTATTTACTAGTACGAACCGCATCTATGCTTGCCCGGGAAGGGTCAACAGCTAAGGGCTATTCAAACCCACCTGAACCACGCCATAAACTACTGATTACTTATTACACGCTGCAGGCTTATTACTACTTATTACAGGCTGCAAGCCAAGAACTCGCCAACGAGCACAAGGCGACACGGGTGCTGGCCGTCGTATTCATATGTTTTTTCATCTGCTGGACGCCGTTCTTTGTCGCAAATTTCATTGTCGGATTTTGTGGCGCGCTATGTTCTGTGCCGCCATGGCTCGGCTCCGTATTCCTGTGGCTCGGATACATCTCAAGCACCGTGAATCCTATCATCTACACCGTATTCAATAAGCGTTTTCGTCAAGCATTTGTACGTATACTACGCTGTCAATGCTGTCATCCTGTACGCGATCCGTCCTCGTTCTATTCACGGAATTACACCACAATTGTACCTGATACGTTTAACTGGTACGTGCTCCCATTGATTTTCATGAGTCACTCAGGTGGTACATAAACTGAATATCATATAAACTGAGTTTTTGTGGTGGAGAAGATGTCCCTATTGGAATATCGAACATTGCCGCCTTTCGTCGCAGCAGGGTAGTTATATGATACCTGCGAGTTCCATGAACAGCTGCACTCACGTTATTCGCGAAAAACGTCGCCACACATATTTCGCTGAACAGCAAAAAAACCACCCCCCCCCCACATATCTCATTCGATAAGAGTTTGTCACAGGCGTGCAAACGTATATTTACAGTGACTCATAGTGTTTGAAAGCGGTCAAATTGCAGTTCGAATCACGACCGAGAACGTCAAGCGTCAGTGAACTGTCGTGATGACTCCAACAACAGCATGCGTCAGGGCAGTGCACGGCAAAGAGGTCAAGGGGGCTCTGATGATGACAAAAAGGTGAGCTCAAACTCAAACGCTTCTTTTGCACGGGTGGATCGGCATTTTGGCGCAGTAGCATAGTGAATTAGCTGGAACGATGTCTTCTTTGTGCCGCAGTAGCTGATGGCAGAGAAGGTAAAAGGACCAGAGATTAATAGGGCAAGTGCTCCAGTGACTACTCCGACATAATGGTCCCTCGAATGTTGAAACATGTCATGAACGAGGGGGTACTGGGATGTTAGATAGCTAACGAAGACTCGGGAACGCGGAAGGTGTGACCATTGCGAGGGGTCGTTTTTTGGAAGGGTAATTCCTCAGAAACGAGGTTGAAGGTAAGTGGAGGAAGTGGATAAGAGGGGCTTTCAATATAAGCGTTGAGAAAGGCACATTTCAAAACACACCTCAGTAAAGGGGGGTTACGTAAATGGACTATAAATGTAAAATTGTGGGTGCTGGTTGACTTACCTCCGAAAAAAAGGAAAGAAAACTACTGAGAACGTACTAAGCGGCGCACTTATTTTCTTGGATAATGAGGGCTTGTAGTCTAAGAGACAGCGTGCGCCGTGTTGAGAAAATGATGTACGGATGTGAAAGAGCATAGCGTACAGTGAGACAGCAGAAACCTCAACGATGGGCGCGCGTAATTATTTAAGATATCTACTGTTACAGTTTCTAGGCCTCTAGCGCCTTTTCCCCCAGACTTTTGGTCCCGCAATTGGCCCCACCTTTGCGTATCAGATAGCTTATACGAGAGAATACTCAACAATCTGATCGCGGAATGTTCTTTTAGCAGAAAATTTCATTGTTTCATACTGATCCTCTTCAAGTGACTGACTGATTGAATGATAGATCTAGATGATCTCAGGTGAAGAATCGCAGAAAACACAGTTATGAATTCACTGTTCGTAATTTTGCAACTTTTATTGAATGGTGTAACAGATTCCTTTTTGGTATGACCTCACATTCGGCTTCCATTCATAATCAAATTGACACGTTAAATGCTCAATGGGCCTGTAAAATGAATTGCCGACCGGTGCGAATCAATATTTCATATTTTCGTAGGAATCTATTAGCATCTCTCGAAAGATCTCGGAGGAATGGACTGAATGATTGCTTCAAACAGAGTTCGCTCCAGAAATAGATACTCGTGCAAAATTCTTGCGATAACGGCACCATCTATCAGTATTCCACATCCTGCACCACAAGTAGCAGGAGCTATACATCCCTTTGCATCGTAACTATGCCTCTTTAAGGTCTAGTGCTCTGAACTACTAAGTGACCCACGCAAGAAGTTGAAAATGGCCATGGAGTTGCTCAACTTCATCCAGGGTCTGCAAGTACACCAAAGTGTACCACAAAACTGCTTCTTCCTTCCATTATGTGAGAGACGACTGAAAAATTGCTGAGTCATGGACGCATGGTTGATGTAGCAGGGATTGGGCCTCAGGACCGAACCTTGCTAATGTGGTCACATCTCCATGCGAAATTCATAATCCTACACGTGACCGAATGAGTTTGAGTTCAAAGAACTCCTGGAGCAGCTGTGCATCACTTTTTACCGCTGCTTCTATATGCCCTAGCAAATAGGTCATAGCAACAGGATCGTGGGCTATACGTTTGTGATTTGATTGGAATTTCATCTCCTGAAAACTTTCTGTGAAAAAGCGGAAGTCAATTTCCTGAGAAAGCCACTTCCGACAGCTGCTGCTCAGAGGCTGGGTGCTTGCTGCGGCTGATCGGTTCCCATTCCATGAGAAGCAGTTTCCCCATTTTGTCAACCCACCGTTTTACACAAAGTGCTGTCGTAACTGTTCTAAGCCAGCGACTTCTTCATTGTACGGCTAATTCACACATGTTTTCATGTTATATCCATAGGATTACTGTGTTGCAATTTTCTGAGCACGTGTTGGTGTTTTTACTAACAGGGGGAAACAGTGTAGTGGCAACTCGCGCCAGTTGCGTATGCGTATGGTTGGACGGTCAGACCCTGCATCGAATTCTGTTCATGCCAACCCGGGTGTTCTGCAGTTCTCCTCCTCAGGTCAGGTCACCTAAAACTGGGACACCACTCATTTGCTCGCAGCTTGGACTAAACCTAGGCCATATCGTAGGCTTAAGCATAAGCCAATATGTATGTAAGCTCAAGCCTAACAGGGGAGGTCTTTCAGGGCAAGGCGCACATTTTGGAAACGCTTTAGTACATGTTGTAGGGTCGCATGTATGGGCCACAAAACCATGTTTCGTTTTCGCTGAACGGTTTTAGTAGTACCAAAAAAGTGGCGAATAAAATTCTTGATGGTTCAATCCCCTGCGGCGAATAAATTTTGCAATCAAGGTTGGCGGCCAATTATTGGCTTCAAAATGACGTGAATTTGACATCTGATTTTGATATTTAGCGCTATTTGGCACCAAACCGTAGACGCCAACCCGAATGCAAAATTTAGTCGCCACGGGGGATCGCCCCCCCCTAACAGTACCCTATGCTTCTTTTTTGCTACTGCTATAAACGTTCAGCGAAAATGGAACATAGTTTTGCTTTCCCTACATGCGTCCCTACAACATGCAAAAAACCGTTCTGAAAAAGCGCACCTTGCCCTGAAAGACCTCACTTGTAAGCCTAATCCTAAACCCAAGGTGGATCTTAGGCTTTAATAGTCGCGCAGCTCTGGTGACGTAACCAGGAGGAGAACTGAACGCCTATCGGCAGCCCAGAGGTCTGCTTATTGATGGCAGACCTACTTGAGAGGATAAAAACACATGTAGATAAATAACCCACGCACACTATCGTATAGATCACATCGCATCGCTCATGGTACCATGTTTCAAGAGGAATATGGTGCACTTCGTAAAGGGCTATTTGATGACTAAAATTCCCATACTTATAAGATGGCGCTGCTTCATATTAGTCCTTTTTCGTATGTTTACACGTGCATGAAGTGATTAACTTGTTGTTGCTCCTTGAACACCTAAAGACAATGCCTTTTGCCATGACCCAGTACTTACCGATGCAATTTCAGATATCGCTGCCGAACATGCCTACGGGACGAGCATCGTCCACGGCACCGAGCATTCCGGATTCAAGAGCGACAACTGAGGACGTGAGCGATGAGGATGCGGCGGCTAATGAACACCGTCCGCTACTGCCCCAACCACGTCTCTCCTCAGCTCATGGTATGAGGAAGTCACTGACGACACTGCTCAACACCTCCACAACATCATCTGGCTTTACCAAATCGACGTCGTGTGCAGAATGTCGGCGTGCTGAAGCGTGTGACCCATTAGACGACACTGATGACACGATGACTTCCTCGACAAACAGTTGTCCACATCACTTGATGTTATTCTCAACCACTTTTGGGAAATCAATCAAGGAAACTTTTTTATAAGTGTAATATTACGAGTTCGGCGTGTCATCACTCACCTCATTAATAGATTATATGTATGTATGACGTGTGCAGACGCTACACAAGCACACATCTCATATATCGTCCTCTCATGAAAATACGTGTATTTCTCATCGACCTGTGGTTATAAATTGAACGAAACATGTGTACAGAATTGGAAGTATTGTAATAAATTAAATCAAACGTTTTACTTCGCAGTTACATGTGATTCAATCACCGCGCTGCTCGCCGCTGGCGCTTCAGCGACGGATGTCCGAGGAAAACTGCGTTCATCACGACTAGCGCGAACGGGGACATGCATAATTGCTCAGGAAAGTCAGGGTAGCCAAGCAGAGCAAGTCCTTAGCTGCTGCAAGTTGATCCCCAGAAACAAATGCAGCATTTTTTTTCTGTGTTCTGAAAAGACCCACTCAAATCGTAGAAGAAATTTGCCAATTTCTCTAACATAAGGGATGAGCTAGCAGCGTAGCCCTTGACCAAACGCCGCTTTTGGGGTTTGCCTATTTTAGCATTAATCCCTTAGATCTGCAGAACCTTCATGCATGATGGGAAACGGAAAGTGTTTGAACCCCTAGGTTTCGAACTGGCAATTGCTCTTGAAAAAAAAAACAATACTATGTAATAGAGGCTACTGTAACGCAGTTTGTCTGTTGAAAACAGGAACAGTCGTGGGTCAAGCAGGCCTCGATAGGGAGAGATACTTGGCTTTTTGGGAATAAGCTGCATGTTGGGGATTGGCTATATAAAGTCAACAGTTCCTTGCAAATTAATGGGACAGAAAGGTATGGATGTTGTAGGGAATCAAGGTAGCCTGTAAATAAACCCCGATCAGATGTGGAGGAGGTCGTAATGACACAACCTGGCTCAACCTTATCGGAAGGGACAGTGATCAACAACTTCGCCCTATTCCGCCATGGTATGTTTTGTAGCAATTAAAATAAACAGCTTGCTGACCGCTCATAGAAAAGCTGGGGAAAGTTTCGCGAGGCCACATTCAACAGAAACTTTCGCTACTTTGTCGACACTTCTAATCTGCTACGATTTGCATGCCTCCACTCAGTTTGCATACATTTACCGGAACTCAGCAATTTCCTGTACTTCTACTATTAACCAATAATGGAAGTTTCCCAATAGCTCCCTCAGCATACGAATTCATCTCGCATACATACGTGCATTTGAGGGGGCAGAATCCCACTGTAGTGATTTGCCTCGAATGCACACGTCACGTCGGTGATATACATCCGGCACGAGACTCATCCAGTTTATTCAGTTTAAACCCATAGCGCTTTGAAGAAAACGCATTCCAAGAAGCCACAAAACAACTAGTTCGAAACGCCACGGGGCAACATTTCCCAACCGACCGCTCGATTTAATATGTTTTACGGCGCATTGAGTTCAGCTCGTATGTAGCGAATTGCAGTGGTGCCACGTAAGTAGGTCCGATAACAACTGACCATCCTTTGAGTTTTATCATAGCGACTAATAGTTTATGAGCGTGACGTTCTTGATCTATGCACATTCTGTTACACATTTTAAACTTTGATCCTTCAGAGGGAGTAAAATACTTCCCAGAAAAATAGTAATTTAGGGGCATTTCGCAAAAGGAGTGTGTAGTAACATAGTTAATAAAATACGGTAACTACGGAGGAACCCGTAGCGGGGAGAGAGTACTAGTTCATAAATATGGTGTCGGGATTCGAACGAGAGAGCGGTCACGAACCAGGACGGGAGGTAAGACAGAGAGTGAATTGAAGAGGCACGAGACAGCAGACAATGACGCACCCCCCCCCCCCAATCACAACATCGGGCGGAGATTGCATCGAGACACTGGCGTTGCAACCTCCGCCCGGATTGCGATTTGAGTAGCGTTATTACCTGCTCTTATTTTGTCACGGTATCGCTTTCTTTGCACTCTCCTCTCTACATTGCTGTTCTCCATAATAAGGAGAAATTGGTAAGCTAGCGAGGTTTTCGAGAGAACCTAGGATATCTGATATACCTAGGATATCTAGGAGCTCACCATCTACATATTTTTGCCTCTACAAGTACCTTGGCTCTCTAAAATAGATAGCCATTGGCATCTGCGACTCTGCACTTATGTCGAGTACAGGGCATGTTCAGGACGTGCTGTTTCTTACCGTTTATATCTCTGAGTTAAATATGTAGGCAGACAGCTCAGATAAAAAAAAACAGGTACTTTGAAAATTTATTACTCAGAAATTCGCGAATTACTTCATCTGAAAAATTCTCGGAATGAGGTGCTGCCAAAGTGTAGGAGAAAGACTTTTCGATTTTGTATCTCTTAAAATCTCTTCGATGTAGGCAATTAGAATAAAGTTTTCAGCCGAAGGGCAGCTCCGGGTCGGTTTTCTTTTTAGTAAGTACTGAAACTTGTCAGAGTTCGGATTTAATAGCGTAATGTGATGTCTTATCACTCAAGATCAGACCCTCAGACAAATGATGCTGGTAACTCCCTGATCTTGTTCATAGGACAAATACACCAGGCTGACTTCATTGAATGGCGGTGAAATTCGGCCGCATAGCCAGAAAATAATACAGGGTTCGATCAACGCAAACGACTCCACTCTCGGTCCTTATTGTTCACTCGGCGGGACACAAAATCTAATGGTGCCAACGCTGACAGCTATTTCAGAACCAGTGCATAAAACCGAATAATCGACGGTGATTATGTTGAACATGAAAGTGGGTCTCGCACTCTTGCATCGTGCGAAAATTTTACGCCCACCTAGCCACTGCCGAAGCTGGGTGCCGACTTCAAATATTTTTGAAGGAAACTTTGAACGACGGCAATTTTGAATAGCTAGACCTCCAAGAAGATTTCCCTTCCATGACTCGATTTGTCATCGCTGTTGTTTTTGTGGACAGGGCTTGAAATTTCAATAGGACGAGCGTACTGAAGTCAATGAGTTTTGAATTAAAAAGAATGTTCTGGGTTTTTTCTCTTTCCGTTCAATACTGGAGATGCGCAGTTGATTTATTGGTTCGGACTTCAACACACATAAAACTTATGTCCCAGTTTTCACATGGATGCGAGCAGTTGCGGGGTTTTTATCCTTTAGTAGTGTGTACATCGTAGTGAAGTTTCCCTGGATTAAATTTAGTCAGAACGATTTCCACGACTGCGTTCGTTCAAAGGCAAGACGGGGATAAAACCGGTGATAAGAGCGCTTCATAGTGATGACTATACTACTGAACGACCTGAAAAGGAATGGAAAGCAAGAAAAACTTTGGGTACGCTAAAAATAAGGTCTTGACCTTTAGTAAGATCAGATGTGGTACGATGGCGGGACAGGACGACCAAAGAAGACAGAACACGCGAGAGCACGCCGTTCAAGAGAGCACGTTGATCTCTACGCCAATCACGATGGGCGGGAAGCGTTGCAGCGGGGGTCATTGGTGGCACGCCCGCAAAATTTTAGCTCCCTAATCGCACAATTTTTCGACGGAGCTTGAGTTATCTATCTAGGTATGGACCCTGCAATTTTCCTCGCGGTGTCCTTCTTACAAGTAGGTTTAATCGCGGGATTGCCTTTAAGTGCAGTCTTTGCATAGGTGTGGTAGAGTGAAGAGAAGCAGTGAAAATTTCGGTGAAATCAGCCCCGACATAAAGGTAGAATTCCGTTTCTTTGTGAATCTTCAAGAAATGAATATACTATGCAGTCTACATTTCTACATTATTACGATCATTTTATGTAAAGCGTACCCTTACTCTACAGAATACAGTTCTAGCGTAGAGCATGACCTTCTATCGCAAGATCAGTTTCGGCTCTAACGTAAGCGGAAATCCACTGGAAGAACGCAACAAGAAGGCTGAGGCCTTGCCTTGATTTCTGGGATCGCTACTTAACCGGTGTCTGCGCTCTCTCGTATGTCGTGCTCTCCTGCGTTTTTCCTCTCATATCCACGCCCTGTATCTCGACCACACTGTGTTCACTTTTATAAGAAAGGAGTTCCCTTCGCGTTTTTGGTTCAGGTGCACAGAACAGCTCATTTCGATAGCGACCTGTGCGTTTAAGGACATTCAAAGTAGATGGCTTGATGAGTTGTACTAAGACTTAGCCTTCACAATTCCTTTCAAATGCATCGCCGTTATCGTTCCTTCTACATAGATGAGCATCAGTGGGCGTTTTTGGGGACTGAGGCTTGTTAAAGCACGCCTTTGGTAGCTCTTTTTCAGCCGCAGAAGCGCCACCTATCGTCCACTAATTATTAACGGTGGGAGGCTACTTATCGAAAAAGGAATCTTATTCTTATCAAAAAAAAAGAAATGAAATAAGCATTCACCCGAAATTTTACACTGACCACGGCAGGATTTCAAAGTCCCATGGAATATTGGACTGAAAATTAGATGAATAGAGCCTGGAGTTATGGTTACAAATGTGAAGAAAAAATTGCTACATGGACCTTCTAATGAAGTCGTTAGTGATCGAATTGGTCCCAATTTCGATTCTTGTGGTGACAAAATTTTGGATTCTACGTTTGCACCTCTAGATTGGTCCCGAATTGCGCTAGCGCCGAGAATAAATGTTATTTTCGTGATCGGTGCCATTAATGTCGCTCGCAAGTACACTTTCACCTCATATCACCACTGCATTAATTTTACCGGTCACAATCTCCATGTTAGGGTAGCAGTTTTGCTCTTCATATTTGTAATCTGCATTCAGAGCTCTACCTATTTACCTAGGTCTTAGTTCAAAGTTCCATGAGAAGTCGAAACAGTCTCCTGGTGAGAAGATATGAAGTCTAGTTGCTCCAGTGGAAAGAATGGAAATCGAAAGGAAAATCAAAACCCTATCTTTGTCCGACATTTTTCGAAGCAGTGTTCGAAAGCCGCCATCAAGAACCCTTCGTCAATATGAAGCCGTGCGAGCCAGACCACCTCGTAAGTATTGACACATATCCGAGCTACTGAAAAAAGGAAGCAGGGACCATATGGAGCATCAGAAGGGCGCGTAGAGTGC